GGGTCAGGGGTCTGAGTGGCAGGGAATTGGGAGGTGCCGGGGTTTGGGGGGTTGGCTTGGGTGCAGGGTCTGCGGTTCTGCGCGAATGCGCGGTCGGGGGTCGGGGGGGTCTGGGGATCACCAAATGCTGGAAACCAAGCCCCGATCACTCCAAGACTACTACCAAGACTAAAAACCATTCATTTTGAACACTTTTGCCTCCGTAACCTACACTCACACACTCCCACCCACAATCGACCACGTCTGAAGCTTTGTGCGGTACAATAATAGTACTGTAGTACAATAGTAGTACAGTAGAAATAATACAGTAGTAGTACAATAGTAGTACAATAATAGTGCAGTAGTACAATAGTAATACAACAGTAGTACAGTGGTAGTACAATAGTAGTACAGTAGTAGTACAATAATAGTACAGTAGTACAATAGTAGCACAATAGTAGTACAGTAGTAGTACAGTAGTAGTACGATAATAGTACAGTAATACAATAGTAGTACAGTAGTAGTACAGTAGTAGTACAATAATAGTGCAGTAGTACAATAGTAACACAACAGTAGTACAGTGGTAGTACAATAGTAGTACAGTAGTAGTACAATAATAGTACAGTAGAACAAAAGTAGCACAATAGTAGTACAGTAGTAGTACAGTAGTAGTACGATTATAGTACCGTAGTACAATAGTAGTACAGTAGTAGTACACTAGTAGTGCAGTAGTACAATAGTAATACAACAGTAGTACAGTGGTAGTACAATAATAGTACAGTAGTAATACGATAGTAGTACAGTAGTGCAATAGTAGTACAGTAATAGTACAGTGGTAGTACAATAGTAGTACAGTAGTACACTAGTAGTACAGTAGTGGTACAACAGTAGTACAGTAGTACAATAGTAATACAGTAATAGTACAGAAATAATACCAATAAGCAAAGCATAAAGCCAGTGAGCACATTCCCCCAATAAGCAAAGCATAAAGCCAGTGCCTGAAACCCTAAACCCTGAACCCTGAACCTTAAACCCTAAACCCTAACCCCTAAACCCTAACGAACCCTAAACTCCTAAACCTTAACAAACCCTAAACCCTAAGCCCTAAACCCTTCCCAAAGGGGGGTCGGTCCAGATTGGACCCAAAATGGAATTTTTTATACAAACTTTAGTACTGGAGAGGCCTCTTTTGAGCTAGGGTCCAATCCCCGATTCGGCGGTTCACCCTAGCAGCCCCCCCCAATAAGCAAGGCATACAGTAGCAATACAATAGTACAATAGTAGTACAGTAGTAGTACAGAGTCCCATTCCTGACGCCCCAATAAGCGAAACAATTCTGCAAGAGATTTTCGGGCTTCAGGGCCAGGGTTTTAGGGTTGGGTGGGGGTTTGGGTGGGGGTTTAGGTCGTGGCTGCCTTAAGATTGACCATCAGCAAATAGCACAGCCCGGCCACCAACAAATCACCCCAGCCAAAAAAAAAGGCATTAATTAGTACCACAAAAATTTTACTCGGATTCGGAATTAGCCCCCGAGCCGACGCATTAAAGGAGCCTATATTCCTAAACCGACACCCACATTACTAGAATGGGCAAGTGCAAGCAGGGTTGTAGGGTAATTTATTCAGAGTTAGAGCTTAGGTAAGTCACGTTTACTGTAACTAGCAGTTCCTACGGTTAGAGCGTAGATAGCAAGCTTGCTTTACAGCAAACAGCACCCAAAACCTTCACCGACAGGCATGCTACAAGCAGCCAGAGTTCATCCACCTCCTCCGAGTGCATGAGGCATCTGGCTGATCAGGGCTCAGGATTTAGGACTTAGGATGTTTGAATCGGTGGCGGGGTTGAATGTAGGGGCCTCAGTGATTAGTGTGGGGCGCGAGGGGTATAGTATAGCTTTCTAGAGAGACTATGGGTGGGTAATACATTACCGAGTATTCAAGGCTCGATATTTTTTAATTTGTCCATGCTTTCATGCTGTAAGATCTGTAAGATCAAAGGGTCATGAGTTGTGATGAAATCTTGGAAGCAAAAAGAGGAGCTATATACTTTGGAAGTATCGGTGAGGTGTGGGGTTTGGCGTGTACCTAGACCTCTCAAAGGCTACGAAAAATCGTGTCATTGAACAAATGGACGAGCGATACCCTTAAATGTAGTTCCTTTGTGAAGTTGGATGTCTATTTGCTTCACCATAGTAGGTGTAGACGGAGAAGCATCACAATGCAGCTCCTAGGTATGTTACCGAAGAATGCCGGGTGTACTGAAATGACCAGCATGACTTCGTGAGGACGTGGCCGCGCAGTTACTGCCAAAAGCTGGAATCTCATGACCTAGCAAGCAGACGGTAAGGGATACCAGCATTAAGCATGTTCTGTTTCCACGGCTTTGGGGCGTACTCTGTGAAGAAGCGCACGGCTTGTCGCAGGACTTTCCCAGATCGTCGCTGCAGGCGATTCTTGTGATGATGTCTGGGCAGCAGGCGGGGTGCCGGCGTAAAACATCTGGACTTGTCTATCGAGGGTATCGACGGTCAGGATGATAGGATTTGGGGTTTTGGAGGGTGGAGATCCAGAATGAGTGGCTTTAACTCCCCTACCAAGTGTACCTTCGGGGGTTGTGTATCGTTGCATGGTTTTGTGTGCAGGGTCTTGGGCTTGGACGCCGTTGTTTAAGGTTCGGGGATCAGAGCTGGCTTTGATGGTAGAAGGCCAGGCTTCACTAAATTATTTAGGGCTTAGGGTTTTAGAGTTTAGGGTTTTTACTAAATGCCATCCCTCAGTAAAGTTCAACGAAAACGAGTGGTACGGCAGAGATTGGCATCTACGCCTGCTGCTTCTCTGCATGTTACGATCCTGATGTGGTTGCTAATGTGCTCTGAGGCCGCGTCGTGTTCTGGTCTTCCATGTGTCTGGCTCTACTGATGCAAAGTCGATGCCATACTCTGCATTCCGCAGCTTGCACCTCAACAACAATTCTCTGTAACTTAAGTCGAGGCATCGTCGCAAATGACAGATACTGTACTGGCTCGTTCAGCTTGGAACGGTGAAGTGTTGTTTGTGAGCATGGGTGGAACCTTCGCACGCAACAGGGCCTCAAGATTCGATCGTCTTGAAACTGCGTCAGAAATCGTGAAATCGCACTTATGTTGATGTTCCCCAGGATGGGGACTTGTTTGAACCAAAGCGTGCCAGCATAAACGGTCGATCGTGAAAGTGGCTCTAGATATGATTAGCCCCTCTTGCTGTGTCGGACGCTCATGCCGCTGGCATCTTCCTTTCACTTTGTGTGGGCCGCAGCTGCGAAGAAACACAGGATCGTGGCAAGTGAGCTCGTGCGGTCGTGTTCGAAACTCTACGGGTCAAGTCAGCTATGGCTCGCTGCATCCCACCGGTTATCATCTTGTCCGAATTGACAAGCAGAACTACTTCGTGCATCGTCTTGTTGCCGCAGCATTTCTGGAGACTCCTCTCGATGCGAGCCGCTGGCAAGTGAACCATGTTGATGGAGATCCTTCGAACAATGCAGTTTCCAACCTGCGGTATGTGACTGCTACAGAGAATATTAAGCACGCATGGCACACGAATTCGAGTCGGAAGCCTGTTGTCCCAATGTTGAGCAAAGCAATCGAGTGGAGACGGCAAGGAGAGGAAGCGTGGTCGTTCTGTGCAACGCAAGGAGCAGCTGCAAGGCTTCTCGGTGTTCAGCAGTCGGCTATTTCTAAATGCTCCCGAGGTTTGATGTGGTCGACCACATCATCTCGAGACGGTCTGCGCTTCGAGTTCAGATCGGCTCCAACTGCTACAAACAGTTTCCTGTGGGACGAGGATTGGCGACCCGCGAGCTGCGTTGGCGACGGCGATGCCGTGATCCCCAACTTGATGGTGAGTAACTATGGTAGAATTTCCCACGTGTTGCCTGACAGACGGATCACGAGCTATGGAACACGCAGAAAAGTCGGATACTACAAGGTCCAGAAGTCTGGACGATACTTTCTCGTGCACCGCTTAGTTGCTGCTACTTTTCTCGGTCAGCCTCGCCACCCGTGTCTGCAGGTAAACCACAGAGACCATGACAAAGGAAATAACCATGTAAGCAACTTAGAATACGTCACAGCTTCTGAGAACATCAGACATGCTCTTGCCCGGTCGGACGACCATCAGCGCAGGGGCACAAATTGCAGGAGCGTCCAAGCACGATGTAAGCTTGGTGGTGGATCCTGGCAGGATTTCAATTCCATAAAGGCGGCAGCTTCAGCAACCGGCTTTACACCCGAACAAGTCTCCCGCTTGTGCCGTCGACACAGAGACAGCGTGTCCTGGGAGTTCCGATTCACCGTTCCGGAGTCGCTCCCTGGTGAAGAGTGGCGTCCGGTAGTGCTTCAGGGAGCACGCCGCTGTTTACCGTGGAATTAGCACATTTACCCAGGAACCCCAAAGTAGTTCCTTTTAGGGATTACCTTATAGGATTCCATATATGAACCCCTAAAGGAACTACTTTGGGGCCTTAGGGTAGCTATCATAGTGGCAGAAGCGATAGGTGCCAACTACATTGACGACATGCTCCACGCAAAGAAGATACGTAGCTGATACAACACGGAGGAGGTGTCGCAGCCATCTCACCATGTCTTGCTGGAGAATTCCTCTGAACCCTGGCATCTTCGTGACGTTGGAAGCACAAGCCCTGTCTGTAAGTAAGGCAAAGCACTTGCTGATCTCATGCTGATTCACTGCGGAGGAAAATGTTGAAGCCAAGTTGAGTGCGTTTTCTGTGATAGCTTTGAGACTGGGGGCGCTGTTAGTTTGATGTTGATACTGTTCCGTTTAGTGTTGCGAGACATTAGATTCTTCGAAGGTTTCTGTCGTGCCTGGATGGTAGCTCGTCCGATTGATTGATCGCACGGTTGGTGTGATGTCGTTCCGTCTGCTTTTTTAAGGCATATCTCGCACATCCTCTCGTGTAGAAGCTAGGATGAAGGGGCTCAATTTCGGCCTGTCTTGCCGGAAGATTCTTCCCAGTGATTCTGCATGGCCCCTGATGAACCTGCTACTCCGAAAGCCCTGGAGTCCGTGATGCTGGCCGACGTCGCTTGCGAGACTCCGGTACACTTCCAGGAGAATCCAAAGTTTCGGGTGTGGCTGTGCTGCGGAGAATGTTGCTTCAGGGCTTCGGGTTTTGGGATGCAGGGCCTGGGTTGTGGCTTTCAAAAAACAAAGGGGCGAGGGTACCACAAGCTCAAAAATGTCGCCTCCAGTGTTCGGAGCGGGATGTTCAAGTCTTCGGGTAGGATTTACGAAGCAGGATCTGATGTAAGATTTCGGTTCGGGCAGTTTGTTGAGTTGTTTTATGGTTTGCGGCTTCTGTTTCAGGGAGTTCGTTTCCGGCTGACGTCTTTGGGGTGAAGTTAAGGCCCAGGGCTTTAGGGTTCCGGTCCTCTAAAGCCCGGCGCCGTGTGGCGTCTACGTTCTGGAGCTTTCGGTTGTGTTGCTGAAGGGTTCTTCCGGGCCTTGTTGGGTTTGGGAGGTTTTAGGCTTGCAGTCCGTAGGACTTTGGTTAGCTTCAGGGGCTAGGTTGGATTTTGGGACATTTTTTATTTTCCTTATTTGGGTTTATAAGGGACCCTATACATAAATATTTTTCAGGGTGTTTAAAGGCCAACCCAGGGGGTCATACCCACGCATGCACGGGAGGTCGCACTCAAAGGCAAATCTTGGACATGAGATGATCGCGCTCACTCCTTCCTACGAGATTGCCAAGAATGTGAGAGCCTTGAAATTTACACCGTGCGTGCAGACCCTAGAACAAAGCTGCTGCCTGCGGCTCGTTGCAGCATGGCTTCGGAAAACCCAAACCCTGCGTTGAAGGTTCAAGGATCTCGAGGCCTTCTGCTCTGGTTTAGTATTACACCTAGCTGCGCCTCAACCTTGGCGAGTCTACGCATTGCTTTCTCTAGCGGAGTCGGAAGGCGTGCCATGCAGACGGTTCGATGAGTTCGACGCAGGGTTTTCCATCGTGAAGCCAGCGTATTCTATGTGTGGGGAGAGTTCTGGGGGGGGTGCAGTGTTTCGCAGCGGTCTATCTGTGTTGCTCAAGGTTCGTTGGGTTCGTTCAAGGTTTCGGATGGATTCCAGAAGTTGCTTATATTTCTTGGTTTAGGCTGGTTCAGTGCTTTGGGGGATCGTAGGCAGTTGTTAGCAACCTTACAGGTGCCATAAGCAGGCTGTCGTATTTGCAGACCCCACTTTTCCTATGAAGCTTCAAGCAGGACAGCAACATCGACAAGAGCTACGAGTGGAATGAGTGGAAGCTGCGCCAGGAGGCCTGCCCAATCAATCCTGAGCCCTTGTTGTCTAGCCCCTGGCCCTAAACCCTCTATCCAGTTCCATGAACTTAGATCCCAAGTCCACATCCGCGCTCATCCTTAATCGTAAACCCTTCATCCTGAGATCTGTGTACTACTTCTAAACATAGTCCTGAGCCGCTCATGCCAAATTTTGAACTCTGAACTGAACCCTTTCTCTCAGAGCCTGAGCCCTTCTTCTCAAATCCCAGGCCAAGAATCTAAGTCGCACATCGATGATTTTTACACTTCTCCTATGGTCAACAAGAAGTAAAGACTTTTGGGTGCCTTAAAGCTCCCGCTATCCGCCAAAACATCGAACTTCCGGCTCACAGCCCCATGCCCCAAAACGTTTAGGGTTTAGGGTTTAGGGTTGACGCCATGACAAGCTTCAGGAGCTACGTTCAAGGTTCTCGGGTTCAGGTTTTGGATGTTCTTGGGAATGTAGGAACCGTTCTTCAAGCCCGACATCCCGATCTGATTTTTACAGCGAGCAACGATGACAGCAGGTTGGCTCTTGAACAAGAGCTCCCATACTCCGGAACTCTAGCAGGACGTGCCCTTCGTAGAAGCCTCACATTTCTCAATACTGGTTACCTAGGCGTCAACAGGGAGCAGTTAAGGGGGTTCTAGGTACACCAGCACAAGGCTTAAACCATAGACCCTAAACTTCATGTATCCAAAACTCTAAGCAAGAAAGTGCCGCTTAAACAGAGTCATCATCAATCCTTTGCAACGCTTCCGATGACTTCCTTTTTTGCTCACTCCCCGAAGCTCTAAGACCCTAAACCGAAAACTCCTGAACACAACAACTCCACCCTGAAACGCTGAATCAGTCAGTCCCAGAGCCTCCACCCTGAACCCTAAACCCTAAGCTCATCTATAGCCTAAGCCCTTTATCCACTTCTCAAAACCTACACAGCCTTTCGCTGAAGGACGTGGGCCTAAACAGACTGATTGCTTCACTGGCCAGGCACTGCACGTGGCCGACATCCGGCGGAAGACGACCTCGACCACTCAGACGGCCCCACAGCTGAAACGAAACATTGTCGGGGTTAAGGTCTCACGAATGGGGGTTTCGAGTTTCAGGATCAGGGTTGGGCTCAGGGTTATAGGTTCGGAAATCGGGATTTTAGGATTAGGATTTGGCGATCGTGGGCAGGGGCGGATGGATAGTTAAGTGTGGCTTCCAGTGGACATGCGATTCTGCGAGCACTTGCCTCTCAATATTGATGTCGTTGGCCAAGACCTCTGGAACACACAGGGGGCGCATGAACAAAGAGCCTTTCAATAGCTGCGCGCAATTTTTTCCGTAGAATCGAGGGAAGTTCAAACCCCAAGCCCTCAAAGCCAGACTTTCAACGCCAAAGCTTCTACACCTAAACTTCTAAACTCGAAGCAATCCCAGAAAGGTGAATCCCAAAGCCTTGCGCCCCTAAACCTTAAAACCCTCAAAGGCCTTATCGTAACCGTAGAAGCCCTGAACCATAAAGCCAAAAGCCTGATGGTAACCGTATGCAGTAGAAGCCAGAAAGTTGGAATATGATTATCGTAACCCCTTTAAGGTAAATTATAGGGGATCCTACCATGAAACCATATTCCAACTTTCTGGAGTTCCCTGTATGGTCTTGTCGTAGTCGCTCTAGGAATCGTTGAAGTGCTCCAAGCCCTTCGCCTTGACATCTCCAGCCACAAGGCGCTTAGCCACCTCCGTCGGGAAAACGAGACGCAGGTCTACCTCCCGAAGGCCGCGCCTAGGGTTCGCAGGGCTGTGGAGCTTTTGCTTATAGGGCTTAAACGGCTTATGGGGTTTCCAGAGCCTGCAGTGTTTCTAGGGCTTGTAGGGCTTACAGGGCCTATTGGGTTGACAGGACTTGTAGCACCCATGGGGTTTGCAGGGCTTGTGGCGTCTACGGGACTTATGGAGTTTAAGGTTTACATGTCTGGTTTAGGAATCGGGATCGAGTGAGAATAGCTTCGGTAGGTCTTATTGTAACACGGTTCACAGGTGCCACGGCAAAAGAAACTGCTTGCTGCTAAAACTGTCGGTATGTGCTCAGGAGATGGCAACGAACACCACGGCGAGCCGTGGCACGAACCCGCCGAGGCTCTTGCGGGGATCTTCGGATGGCTTTTGTAGGCTTCCTTTAAGGGATCCCTTACCTTCGGTTAGCAGGGAATGGAGGAATGGGGTAGAATTATAACTGCTATTACTACCATTCTTCCATTCCCTACTAGCCAAAGGTAAGATCCGTGAGGATCCATGCTTCCGTTTTTTGGGGTAGGGATCCTCTGAGGGATCTAGAAGGGTAAAGAAGGTTGAAGGTTTAGGGCCAGGGGTTAGAGAAGGTGTAGGGATTCCTTGAAGGATTCCAGTAAGAGGGTCTGCATTTGGCACTGTGGTTTTCATGCTCATAAGGTGTCATAAGGCTAACGCCCACGCGAGGGCTTCACCAGGGCTATAGTGTTTTTGATAGGTTAAAGATCTGGGGTTCAGGGTTTTGCATCGGTGTCTTGGGTTTGCGGGTGATTCTGAAGGTTCCTTTAAAGTAAGGAGGGCCGATGGGCAACACAGAACCGAGGCTGCCAGAAAATGGAGTTGCTTTGGAAGTATATATATGAATATTTTATATATATATATATATATGTATAGATGTATGTATGTATATATATAATGTATATATGTAATACACATACATATAGGCTATATGGTACCGATAACATAGCGCCCCAACAACAATAAGTGTGACTCCCAGTATGTAAGCCTGAACCAGCAAACCCACAACCCAAAGTCTCCCTAGAGCCCGAACTGTGGGTGATCATAAGCAGCGTTGTATCCCTAAGGGTCCATGTACCGAAATAGTAGATACATTGGCCTTAAAGTACTCCCTATATGGGTACATTGGGCCCGAAGTATATACTATTTGGGCACATGGACCCTTAGGGTATGTTACAACAACAAACATGATAAGTAGCGAGCTTACATTAATGTTTGCACGACTGGTAGACCGCACTTCCGACCTTTCCCCGCATCCTTCGAGCGCGTCTTTGTAGAAACCTTATACAACCTGCCTGACTGCCTCTAGAACTGCTGTGTTAATCCCCTATAGCACTTATTCAAGAGTCCTCCCCACGACCGAAACTGGCGAGTGGGTTCGGAGGCTGAAAAAGTACTACACTGGCCTTCGTGGGGAGCCGCGGCAAATGCAGGTGCAGATGCTTTCAGGGCTTTCGCTCTGTACAATGCGGGATTCAGGGCATTGGGTTTCGGGTTCGGGTTGGGAGGTTGCAGGATTTCGGTTTGGGAATGTGGGGTACGCGAATATCGGTCTAGCTCTGCGTTTATTCCTTGCCAGGGGTTCCTGAGGTTTCTTTCTTGGCTCTCCAATGCCCCAACCTTCACATTTTCGTTGTCAGCAGACAGAATCTGTCCGGAGTTTCAACTTGTTTAAGTACTTGGGTGTTCGGGAGGTTGGAAGGATGCGAGTTGCATTCCGGAAGTATTCACGCACCTAATCTACTTGGATTGTTGGAAACTGGGCTCCCTGGCATGCGCCTGCACAGATATGGGAGTTTCCGAAAATAGGGGACCCCAAGAAAGAAAACTCTAAATAGTAGGATCCTTTCAAGTGATAACGACCCCAAAATAAGGTACCCCGAATTTTTGGAAACTCCCATCTTGTCCAAGCTTCTGATGAAAGGATGCTACAGCAACAGCGTCGCAGAACCTCGGTCGAACCGACTTGATATGTCCGAGGGCCGTACAATCCCATACAGCGAGGCCTTGACGCTATATGAGCCGTGTAAAGCCCTTGCCAAACCGTACCCCTACACGCAAGTGCAAGTGCTTTCGACGCAGGTGGCCGAGTGCCGATACGACCTTTAAGCTTCAATCTGAAGGCTCGGGCTGTCTTTGGTTGCAGGGGCGTGTGGTGTTTGGTGCCTCAGTCATGTTTAGGGTTGAGGTGTTATATACTGTGTAGGATCAGCTCAGCTCATCATTTCGGTTTCCGGCGAGCTATGTAACCCTGGGAAGCACGAGCTCTTGTGCGCCTGACACCGAAACTGCTTTCCGGCCTATACCCTCAGCAATCCCGAATTACAAAACCTATTGCAAGCACCCTCCAACCCCAAACCCCTCTAAATTGAGAGACCCGCACTGAAACCGAAGCCCTTTTTGGTGCAGGTCGGGATGCATCCACGGCGGCTGACCTTGGCTGCTGCGTTTCTGTTTCACACCTCTTGCAACTGGTGCATCAGCAATTCAAAAAGCTCTTATGCCTTGCTTTCACTACTATTTGCTTAAGAAACCACCCAAAATAAAAATAATAATCCCTATATTATCCCCATAAGGAATATATTTTTTTATTTTTTGGGGGGTCCTTAAGCAAATAGTAGTTCATGGATGCCATAGAGACTGCAACATTAGATGAGAGAGACTCTTGGGTTTCAGGGCCTTGCAAAGGCATGGTCCATGGGGCTTCTGGGATCCTATTGCTTGCCTTTGGTCAGTAGGGAAAGGAGGAGTGGTAATCATAGTAGTTGTAGTTGTACCCCCTTTCCTCCATCCCCTACTAACCAAGGGTAAGATTGTTCCTGACGGGGTTCAGCTGGGGCCCACAGTTGATGGGGTTTTGAGGGCTTCACAGAGGCTTTCTGCGGAGATAGGCCTGACGAGCGGTGTGGCCTGAGGTCTAGATCACATGATATTAAGCGGCCGTTGCATTTTTTCGTCCAGCCCTCATCTGCTTGTGCCCGAGGGTCAGGATGAAGAATGGTTCTTAAGCTTGCATACCTCCCAGGAGAGTCCAAAACCCCGAAGCTGTTGACGTCCTGCCGAGGGATTTCCGAATTAAGTAGTTCGATTTATGCGAGAATCAGAATTGCAGCACTAAAGCAGCATCCTCATTTTTTGGAACCCCTTGCCAAAGCCGGACCCGAAGGACGACTCCCCGGTGGTCACTGTGGATGTTCGCCTCGAGGCGGAGGGTACAAAGGGTTCCAACTTGGGAGTTTGTTTCGCTTTTTTTACAGGCCCGTATACGCCCTTTCTAAGCCCTAAACCCTCTCAAGCCCACCGTTTTGGGCAGGTTTGATGAACCCCAAAACCCTAAACCCTAAACCCTAAACATCCCTGAACCCTAAACCCCAAAACCCCCGAACCCCCGTCTTGAGCTGTTTCTTCGGGTTTCCTCTGTTCGAAGGCCGTGGAGCGCCTGCCCAAGGAGAACATCTACTGCAGCTTTCAAAAGGCCGTCCTTCAAGGTTTCCTTTAGGGGTTCTTCTATCGGTTCATGTATAGGGGGTTCCTTCTGGGGAGGTCTGGTTCAAGGCTTTAGGGGATGTTGGTTTTATTACTGTGAACAGTAGGAGTACAGGGATCTGGGGTGGGGGAAGGGGGTCAGGGGTGGGGCGGGTTGCAGGGCTTGGGGTTTTCTCTAGTCTCCTCACTGGCTGTGTTTGAGACGGTCTGAAGGCACCATGTGCTGGCTGCTTCCTGGAACGAACAGCACATAGTTCAGGAGCTGTAGACCCTGAAAGCCCTAAAGCCTAAAGCCTGGACTTTCAATACGTTCTTGCTTGCTCCGACCTTGTCCAGTTGTATCCCGGGGTCAACCGACCTTACTTGCGTTTAAAGTTTGTGGAAAGAGGTAGTTCCACCAGCGAAAGCGCTGAACCCTGAACCCCAAACGGCCCTGAACCCTAGACCGTACACCACTCCGAAGCATAAACGGAGGACAGCTTTGACCTTCAGATCCTGCATGCGCTCGAGGGGAGAAGGTGCCCCTCACTCCTTAGTCTGTTTGCTCGGGTTTAGGGTAAAGGCTTTTTAGGGCTTTCGGGTTGTAAGATTTTAGGTTTTTGCAGGTTCAAGGTTTTATGGCTTTAGGTTAGGATGTAGGGTTTACCGCTTGAAACCGTCGGTGTTGTTTGGTTTCAGGGTGTGGGCTGCATTTGGAGTCCAGGCTTTGCTAGGGTCCTTCGCTTGCATGACGGTTATTTGGGTTTCGCTGAGGGTTTCGGGTCATGGCTTTGGGTGTTACGAGTTGTAGGTTTACTACTATTTGCTTAAGAAACCCCCAAAAAATAAAACATAATAATCCCTATATTACCCCCATAAGGTAGTGGGTGTTACGAGTTGTAGGTTTAGGGTGCATTGGCATGTATGGTGAGGGGTCTAGGGTGCTGAGAGCCAGTGTTATGAGGCTCTAGGGCTCTATGGATTGAAGCTACCTTTTTAGCTGAGTTTGGCTATTCCGCAAGCCTCGCCGAAATCTAGGTTCTCCGAAGAATGCACTGCGATCCAGGGAAAAAGTAGATCACTGTGAGCTGGGAACCTGAGCATGCTTTTGTTGAACGCAATCCTCTGGTTCCCCTTCCTGTGACTCTTCTTGGTATGATGTGAGCGATGATCATCATGATGACGAAACTCGAGACCCCAACCCCTACTACACGTACTGAGATCACCCCTACAGGCCCTAAATCTTACACCCCGGCTTTGCAGCCCTGAAACACACCCCTGACAGGAATGATTCTAGCGACCCTATGCGCGCGAGTCCTGTCTCGAAGAACCATATTCCCGCCTAGTTCAGATATATCTAATATGCATATGCTCATTTCTCGCCACAACCAATCCTTACGTTCTGCTACGTACATATTGCGCCAGTTTCGGTGACGGCCGAAGAAGACCAAATTCGAATGCTCTGAGCCCCCGTGATGAGATATAGGGCTTAGGCTGAGGGCAGTTTTCGGGCTATGCTTTCAGGAATATGATTTTGGATAACTTTAGGGTCTGGGGGTTTCTATTTCTTTTGGGATTCTTTCCAATGTTCATCCAGCAGACCCCTCTAAACTGTATATACTAGAAGTATCTTGATCCACTACATAGGTAATGCAGTGGCTTAGAGTGTACAGCTAGGACCCAGAGGAGGCCCTTATTCCCTTCTGAGGAGTTTAGGCTCTCTTATAACCCCCTTTAACCAAAAAGCACCCTTTTTATTCCTAGGCTACTCTTGGGTCTAGATAAGGTTTGAGCTTAGACCTTCAAGTTGTCAGCTCTCGGCACTTGGCTCTTCCAGCGCGACGAACGCAGGTCCTAGAACCCGGAAGGGCCCTGAACACCCAAAGCACTCACCCCCATAGACCCACCCTAAGCTCTAAAGTCTTATTTGTAAAGTCTTAAAGGGAACTCCAGAAAGTTGGAATATGGTTTCAGGGTAGGATACCCTATAATTTACCATAGAAGGGTTAGGATAATCATATTCCAACTTTCTGGCTTTTACCTTAAACCCTCAGACGAAAAGTGTTGCCGAGCTGAGACCTCAAGACTCGCCAGGAGGCTGAATGAGGATCCGGCTGAGATGTGGTGCTTGTCCTGAACCCAGAAACCGTAAACCCTGAAGCCTAAAGCCTCGACCCAAGAGTGACGGGCCGAATTGCGAAACTCGAAATCCGACACCTAAACTCGCTACAGCCATGGCGTTTCGCCTGTCTGCTTCCGGCCCGCTCAAGGATGGGCAGCCAGAGGCAGTCGGGTAAGCCGAGGATGGTCCGATCTGGGTGTAAGCAGGGTCAAGGTAGCTGTGGGTACTGTAGCTATAGTTGCATGTGGGGGTTTCCGAAAATAGGGGACCCTAGTATAGTACCTTAAATAATAATAGGATCCCTATTATAAGGACCCCCAAATAATGTACCCCCCAAATTTCGGAAACTCCCATGTAGCTACTGAGAGATCCACTCAACGCTGCAGCGTTGTCTTCGATATCTTAACAGCGTTGTGGGACTTCGAAGGTTAGGAGAACCCCTATGCTACCTTCAAGGGAAGCCTTGCAAGAACCCACACAGGAATCCTTAAAGAAGTTATTTGAAGGAACGCCTGTAGCAAGGCTGTGAGGGCTACAAAGGGCTCTGTGACTCCTTCTGACTCTTCATAGCGAGCATATCAACATGGCTTTGAGGTTTTGGTGGCTTGGGGTCTTGAGTGTTGTCCTAAATCGAATGCCCTGCAAGAGGAGTAGGGGCAGTATGATGTAATCGGTGTCTTTCGATTGTTGCCTTGTAGCATTACAAAGCTTTACACGGTGTGGTCTTGAGGGTATCCGGCTTGGGCATTTCACAAGAGTGGGGTTGCAGAGGAAGCAGGACGTGCACGGCCACACAGCACAAGCTTTACTTTTTGAAGGTCATGGTCTTGGAGGAATGCACTCTAAGCCAAGCTCTCTTTTTTGTTCCGCAACAGCCAGTCGGTTCGGGTTTCGGGGGTTCGGTGGTAAGGTTTACGGTTAGGCTTTCATTTTGAGGTTCGGTGTCAGGTCTTCGGACAACCAGGCATCCTGAGTGGTGTCGCTGCCAAAGTTATCTTCACCGCATCGTCCTCTGCTCGGATGGCAAAATTTCCTTCAAAAGGTTCTGCAAAGTCAGAGGTTTAGCTGTCCCAGTTGTGCCAGTTTGCTCTTTTTTTCGGGGTCTCCATCACGTCCCTGAACCCTAAACCCTAAACCCCTCGAACTCGGGCCTGTCGAGCAGGCGCGGAGTGGCTCCCTCTTCGGCAGTGCCATGGGTGCCTTCAAGGTCTCGATTTTGGGAATTCGGAACCCTAAGTATAACTGCATAGTCTTTTCTGTTCTTGATGGCTCCCTTATACGTAGACTTCTGTTTTTGGTTACGTATACGATTCCTCGGGCTCCGTTGTAAAAAGTATGCTGCAAAATGCTCCCGGTCCTCTACATCAGAAATTAGGACCCTGTGTTGCATCCGAAACGCTGCAGGGGCAGAGTGTCTTTGGCTCAGGTCGCAAATGTCGAGTTTTTGTGAGGCAGGGCTTTCTGATACCGACAAACTTAATCATTTAAATGCTGATGCCCTCAAGGCTGTATGTGCAACGAGCGAAACTGATGCCTAAAGTTCAGGGTGCGTTTAGTACGTTTGCCGCGACTCTGGGCTGTCACGACATCTTGTTGTGGAAGTTCTTCTGGTTATTTTCGGGGGGGGGGGGTGGGTTGGGGGGGCGGGGGTCACAGTGATAAACCTCATACTTTCGTGCCTCCAAGTGTCGTACACTGAAACTCTGAGTCTCAACCCTGAACCGTCAACAGCAACCGTCAAAACACGACACCTGAAACTCTGAAGTTCGAAGCTTCTACTAGTACCTTGAAGACCAACCTTCAACATCCACACCCTGGAGGCTTATACTGAAGAGCGAAACCACTACATTCGGGCTTGCTTCTGATGTACTAATGCGCATGCGTTTCAAGAAGGCTTAAAGTTGGACCTTGCGACTGAAGCTGTTTCTTCTAGGACCTTGCGAGAAAGAAGGAAAAATCCTCCAGGTCAAGCTCCATCAATGCTTCAAGTTAAAATTTACATGGCCACGAAACATCGAGAGGGTAGCTATGCGCGTCCTCCAACTCTGAAGTTCCAAGACGCAACATGACTTCCTTTTAAGACTCATTGCACAGACACGTGCTTGACACGATTTCAGTTCTGAAACCATTATGCATGCTTGCACACTAAATAACTGCTGTCTCTGCCAGTAGAAATGCAATGTAGCATGTGAATGCACTACCAAAGAATCTACTTCAGAACCGCAAACACAGCACACATGTCACCAGACTCAAAGGACAGGCGCGGCAAACGTACTAAACGCGCCCACAAAAGTTCAACTGTATCCTGAGTGCTATACTATATCTCCATCCCTAGACAAGGAAGTCCCATGAAGCTCAAACATTCCACTGGAATTAGCAGGCGCACAGGAGCAGATGAAGAAAGACGTAGCCTCCAAACCCTGCAAATGGTGCTGCGAACCATTGTAAGAGTCTGGACATGCCATCGAAGCAAATAGTAATAACTACTTCAGTTTCATAGTTTGTCTTGCCTCATGTACATATTTGCTGTTCAAGACCACTCCTAAACATCCTGCATCACCCTTCTGTACCTATTCAGCGTCAATGTGGCATACGCCATGCCCGAAAACTTACAATATCAACGCCTACAGCCCAATTTCCTGTACGGCTGGAACAGGACAAGGCTTCGGCGGCAGCCTCAGCGGCCAGTGCGGCTGCCGGGGCGGCGGTCAAGAGTGCCAAGCATGGTCGGGCGCTCGCGGTTTCGGGTTGACTTAGAGTACCAAGAGTGGTAGGGCTCAAGCACTGCGCGTGTGAGTTGCATGATTTGGGGGTAGGTGGGGTTGGGCTGAGAATGAGGTCTGCAGGCTTCAGGTTTTACGTTTGGTGTTGACGTTGTTTTGGGTCCTGTGATGTTGAACCAAGAAGCCCGCGGCCCTTGCTTTAGATTTTGTTACGACGGTGATCTGGCAAGGGTCGGGCCTGGGTGCTACTGCCAGGAATTCATATGCTTCTGCGTCTGCAAATTGCTGTAGCGCAAAACTTCCGGCAGTGATGCCTAACCGCCCAGAGCCCTTATCATCTGTACCCACCACACCATACGGCACTCATAGACTTGTACTATCCCTTGCAGCAACTTCGTGGTGGTTACAGGGAACCCTTTAAACCCAGGCTCATGACCCACGGCAGTCTGAAAAGACCCACTGCTTAGGATCTGCGTGTTTAGGTCCCGCGCCTGCTACAGGGATTATACTTATAGTCGTATATCGTCTACAAACACTGTGACCGAAATAGAGGTGGTTGACTCTAACTCCTTAGGGTTGAAAGTTCAGGCACTGTGCACCCTGACCTTTCGAGGAACAGCGCAGCTGAAGCCTCTCTCTACTCCTACCCAACGGGTCCTAAGTACTTCATATAGAAGCCTGTGCAAGTAGCAATACTAACCCTTTAGACCTCCTCATTGTATTCTATATACATAATACACCCCAACACCCCATTCTAAAGATTCAGGCCTCTATACTATATCCAGCAGAAAGCCATAGTGAACTAGGATCCCAGCACCAGTTCATCAGATGTGGCCACAGATGTTAACCTACTTAGAGGATCATGGGACTTAGTAGGTTATAATTGGGGTTATAAGTCCCCTAAGTGGGGTTATCCTAATTATAACTTCGCGCCAGGGCTTTGTTCGCGCGCGCGCAAAGGCGCGCATGTTGCAAATTCGTTGGCCCTGCCAATGAATTCGAGATGTTGGGCCACGCAAGACTGTCCGAAAAAATGCTGTATTTTTTCTCTTCAGGCGAAGAGCTGCACGTCATCATGGCTGGCACATGGATGCTCTGCGGCAATGGATGGAGTCTGATCTGCACGTCATCATGGTTGGCACATGGATGCTCTGCGGCAATGGATGGAGTCTGATCTGCACGTCATCATGGTTGGCACATGGATGCTCTGCGGCAATGGATGGAGTCTGATCTGCACGTCATCATGGTTGGCACATGGATGCTCTGCGGCAATGGATGGAGTCTGATCTGCACGTCATCATGGTTGGCACATGGATGCTCTGCGGCAATGGATGGAGTCTGATCTGCACGTCATCATGGTTGGCACATGGATGCTCTGCGGCAATGGATGGAGTCTGATCTGCACGTCATCATGGTTGGCACATGGATGCTCTGCGGCAATGGATGGAGTCTGATCTGCACGTCATCATGGTTGGCACATGGATGCTCTGCGGCAATGGATGGAGTCTGATCTGCACGTCATCATGGTTGGCACATGGATGCTCTGCGGCAATGGATGGAGTCTGATCTGCACGTCATCATGGTTGGCACATGGATGCTCTGCGGCAATGGATGGAGTCTGATCTGCACGTCATCATGGTTGGCACATGGATGCTCTGCGGCAATGGATGGAGTCTGATCTGCACGTCATCATGGTTGGCACATGGATGCTCTGCGGCAATGGATGGAGTCTGATCTGCACGTCATCATGGTTGGCACATGGATGCTCTGCGGCAATGGATGGAGTCTGATCTGCACGTCATCATGGCTGAAGCTTCTTCGAGGCTCAGAGGTCTGCGGGAACAACCCGGACACGTGCAGGAAATGCTGCAAAAACCAGTACTTTGGCACCCTCTAGAAGCTATAACTTACTTATAACCTTACTTACTAAGTCCCATGAGCCTTCAAGTACACTACTACCCAAGGACCCGAGTATTATTGGCTCCTGTGGACCGGGTCCTGTTCCAAGTATCACAAATCTACCCTAATCCCTAAACCCTAAACCCTAAATCCTAAACCCTATAATCCCTAAACCCTAAATCCCAAACCCTATAATCCCTAAACCCTAATCCCTGAGCCCGAACGCCTATAAACCTTAGCCCTTAGGCCCTGAACCCTAAAGGTACTGAGGATCTTCGGGGCTTCCTAAGCCTTGGGAGCCCGGTAGCCTCGAGCCCCAAACCCTGCGCCTAAACTCCCCCAACCATAGAAAGCCTGAGTAATGTTCCATATTCTTCCTTAAGGGGTTTCTTATTTGTAATTGTACTATAACTATATATTTTATCATATACCCCCCAAAACCCTATTCTAATGATTAAGGCCCCTGAAATGTCGACTTTGGCCTGTGCAACCGAAGCGAAACAGCCGAGCCGACAGCCCTCAAGGTGCCATCACCTCAAAATCGTGGGACCCCCAACCTAAAAAAACGACAATAATGCTACCAACTCCGTACTAGTACATGATAGCAGCAAGGCTCGCGCCCGTAGCATGAGTCCTGAAGAAACACTCCATGCTCCTCTAAGACCCAGAGTAGGCCCTTATTCCCTTTTTGAGGGTTTCGGTTCCCTTATAACCCCCTTTAAACCAAAAAGGGCACCCTTTTTGTTCCTATGTTACTCTTAGATCTAGTCCTCAAGCGCGGAGATTCCGAAAGTTCCATTCGCCCGAAATCTGAACGGAGAAGTCCGCTGCCAGCGAGGCATCGAAGTGGCCAAGGACCTGCAAGTGAAGGAAGGGCTTTAGGTCGGGAGTTTGGGGTTTTGGGGTTTAGTAGGGTTTAGGGTTCAGGGTTTGGGGGTTTAGGGTTTTAGGGTTTAGGGTTTGGGGTTTAGTGTCTTTCTCGGGTTAATTGCGGGGCAGGGTTCAGGGAATCTGTTCCGTACACAGAGCTCCTAGGAGTTTAGGGGTGTAAAGAGTATCGTTCGTCAGTTCGTTTTGTCTCGTTCCAAGCTTTGGAAAGCATTTACGGAGTCTCCCCAAGCTCTGCCAGACGACGGCTTGCCGTAGCGAAGGCTCTCTGAGCACAGAAAGCGGGCCTGAATGACTGAACCCCACAGTTCAACAGTAGGCAGACTGGAGGATGCAATGGGTCCCAGCGGATCCTCAGCCTCGTCGAGTTTCCGCCCACCGCCGCGTGGCAACGAGGAGCTACTGTCCTCGTGGGGAGTTCAGAAGCGAGTCTTGTAAGGGCGGGTTTTGTAATGGTTATACGAGGGCTGGGGCTTAAGTGGTTTATGGTATAGGGATACCCTCGATTTATCCAGGGTCCGGAAGGGTGGCCCTGGGTACCCTTGGGAACAGGGTCCGAAAGGGTCGCCCGACCCATTCGGACCCTACCTCAGATATTAGAAAAGCAAGCCAGTTAAAACCAGATTTAACTTGCCTGCGGTAGTCCTGCGGTATCACCGCACCGAAAGAATGCCTTTTGGGGGGTGGCTGACGGGGGGGGGCACTAGGCATTGAAATACCTTGTAGACCCCCGGAGTGCCTTGTATGGGGGTCATAGAATATGAGAGAATAGGTGTGCTGGCGAGTGGTACAAAACATTTACCCTGAAAACCTAAACCCTGAAACCTATACACCAAAATCCAGAGACATCCAAAAACCTCAAAATCCAGAATCCTTGGAAGAGCCCCTGAACCCACAAACCCCTAAACCCAGAAATTCTTAACCCTTATGTCGCTTATGTCCCGCAGTAACCCAAAACCCCAAGCGCAGAAACCCTAAACCCAGAAAGCCCTTGAACCCAGATACCCACCAAGCCCCCAAACGCAGAAGCATTGTACCCAAGCGCCTGAACTCAGAAACTGAAAACCCAAAACCACTGAACAGAGGAACCGCTGAACCCAGAAACCCTAAACCCAGAATCCCAGAAACCCTGAGCCCATATCCCAGAAACCTTAAACCCAGATCCCAGAAACCCTGAGCCCATAGCCCAGAAACCCTGGCATGAACAGCCTGGCTTCAAGTGAAATCGGCTTGAAGTTGATCCTGTATGTTCGTCCTTAATCGCTACAGACCTCGCCAGGCTTGCCCGAGTGTGAGTGTCAAAACCCAGAAACCCAAAACCTTGTACTCCAAACCCTTGAACTCAGAAGCTAACAACCCAGAACACCTAAACCCAGAAGTTCTGAACCCCCAAATCTGCGAGTAAGCCCAGAAACCCTGCACGCAGAAACCCTAAACCCAGAAAACTCCTGAAGCCAGAAATGCAGAACCCAGAAACCGCAAACCCCGGAAGCCGCAGACATCATAACCTGAAACCCAAAATCACCGAACCGAGAACCGCTGAACCCAGAAACCGCAAACACCCAAACACAGAAACCCTGTAGAACCCAGAATCCCTAAGCCCTTAAACCAAAACCTTAAACCCCTGGACGCTGCACCGAAGCACAATAGCGGCTTGAAGCAAGTCACATGTCGTGCTCGAATCGAGTGGCCGACATGCCGACGCCACAGGGGCGACGCCGGGCGTCGCAACAGGAATCCACCGAGCGGCGCCCGGCGTCACCCCGCTCCCACAGGTGTGGGCGACGCCGGGCGCCGCTCGGTGGATTCCTGTTGCGACGCCCGGCGTCGCCCCTGTGGCGTCGGCATGTCGGCCACTCGATTCGAGCACGACATGTGACTTGCTTCAAGCCGCTATTGTGCTTCGGTGCAGCGTCCAGGGGTTTAAGGTTTTGGTTTAAGGGCTTAGGGATTCTGGGTTCTACAGGGTTTCTGTGTTTGGGTGTTTGCGGTTTCTGGGTTCAGCGGTTCTCGGTTCGGTGATTTTGGGTTTCAGGTTATGATGTCTGCGGCTTCCGGGGTTTGCGGTTTCTGGGTTCTGCATTTCTGGCTTCAGGAGTTTTCTGGGTTTAGGGTTTCTGCGTGCAGGGTTTCTGGGCTTACTCGCAGATTTGGGGGTTCAGAACTTCTGGGTTTAGGTGTTCTTGGTTGTTAGCTTCTGAGTTCAAGGGTTTGGAGCACAAGGTTTTGGGTTTCTGGGTTTAGGGTTTCTGGGCTATGGGCTCAGGGTTTCTGGGATTCTGGGTTTAGGGTTTCTGGGATATGGGCTCAGGGTTTCTGGGATTCTGGGTGTAGGGTTTCTGCGTTCACCGGTTCCTCTGTTCAGTGGTTTTGGGTTTTCAGTTTCTGAGTTCAGGCGCTTGTGTACAATGCTTCTGCGTTTGGGGGCTTGGTGGGTATCTGGGTTCAAGGGCTTTCTGGGTTTAGGGTTTCTGCGTTTGGGGTTTTGGGTTACTGCGGGACATAAGCGACATAAGGGTTAATAATTTCTGGGTTTCGGGGTTTATGGGTTCAGGGGCTCTTCCAAGGATTCTGGATTTTGAGTTTCTGGATGCTTTTGCGCAGGCCCCGCGAACTTAGGTAGGAACCCGAGCAAACAACCACGGCCTGGGAAGCTTGAGTGTGCGCCTTGTCCCGAGGCCCGCTGCCTGCTACTTCTGTGAACTTCTGCGTGGGTGCTGGAAAAATATATGTGGAAACCATGCTGAATATCATGAAAACTATGTTGAGCCATACCCAAATTCAAGCCGAGCCCGACGCAGACTCAATGACTACCAGCAGGGTCCGAATGGGTGGGTCCGAAAGGGTCCGGCCAGATCTACGGGAGACCCTGGGAACCACCCTTTCGGACCCACCAAACAGGGTCCGAAAGGGTGTCCCCCGGCCGACCCTGCGTATCTCGATCCTATGTATAGGGGATATAGGGGCTTGGAGTGCAAGGATAAGGAGACTCTTAAAGAGGAGCAAGGGACATAGCAAGAGGGGTCACACCCACTGCAAGTAGAAGTTCAAGTACTTCAATCCTGAGGAGCATGGAGTTTCATGCACCGGGCATTCCAAGGGGCTTCAGAATACAATATTGTAAGCCAGGTAAGGCTTCCAGCATAGGTGAAGGTTGCTTCGCATGTCTTCTTAATACGTGCCTACAAGGCCCCGGACATCCCCAGCGTCCCCGGCGTCCCGGGCCTCAGGAGCACACATAATCCATGTCTTGGGCTCAGATCCTTGGGCCCACACCAAAAGATCTCATAATGTAGGAACCTGATTAAGAAACCCTGGGCCTATAACCCCCAAAATAGTAGGGTTCATATAACGAACCCTAGTAAAGGCCCAAGGTTTCTTAATCAGGTTCCCACATTCGGAAATTTCCAATGTGTTTGCAGCCTTTTGGCTTAGAAATCCTTGAGTCGCGCCAAAAAACTTGGGTGAGGCATTCTGGCCGTCGTTGAACCCTGCCAGTACTTGGGGGGGAATACATTTTTTACAGTGGTCCTGCAAAATCCAAAAATAGTGGCCTTAAGCATTACCTCTACTTTCCGTATTACATCTATAGTATTGTATACACCAAACCTCATTCTAACTATTAAGGCCCGGATATATTTGTCTGGGAAAGCATTGTGGGCCTGCACTTGAACGCCACTAGAATTTGAACGAAGCAGTTTGGTCAGGTGTCCTGGTGGTCTTTTGGCGGTCTCCTCTCTCCTCGTTGTCGGGGTAGTCCTTTTCGTAGTCGTTGTCGTGGTGGTCCTGGTGGTCGAGTGGTTGTCCTCGTAGTTGTGGTCGTCGTTGCCGTCATCGTCGTCGAGGTGCTCTACATTGGTTTGCTGATCTGCCCTGGCATGGTGTTTAATGCAGGAGGCATAGCACCCCAGTTGGTTTTGGCAAAGCTCAACCCAGAATTCTGCGAATTCCTAAAGACCCTCTTTGAAACTCCATACCCTCGAAGCCCCAACGTCCCAAAAACCCAGAAGTGAAATTTCTTCACCTTGTCCTAAGCTTCAAAGTCTGAAACCCTATACCCAAGCCTCCAAAATCACAAACCCTCAAGGGCTTAGGCCTCAGAGTCGCCGCCCCCGTAGTTACGGTGTAGCCTCTTGTCGGTGTTTCGCTACATCATGGAAGCCAAACCCTAAATTCTACCCTTCAGCCCCTAAAGTATAATGCCACCGCCGCCCTAAACCCCAAACCTCTGACAGACCAATCCATATAGACTCCTTTGCCGACAACAAATGTGGCAAGTTCCAACTTTGGCGCCTACAACCCTGGAAACTTCATCCTAAAGCTTGACAGCCTTCGCCAATTCAAGTCGTCTAACCTGAGACCGTGAACCCTATATGCTCTAACACCTGAAGCCCTACAGCCCTACAAAGAGCCCACAAGCCCTACAAAGAACCCACAAGCCCGAACACCCCCTGAAGCCCCCAAGTCCCCGAAAGCACCAGCAACTGTGGAATCCCCTAACATTCAGGACCGACGAACTCGCTGTGAAGCCGTTGGAAGCTCAATGTAGCCGTTGACTATATGGCTAGTTGTCAACATTATGGTCCTTTTTTGGGCACCTTAAATATTAATTAGGTGTAGGGACCCCAAAAAGGACCATAATTTCGACAACCACCCATATTATAGTGACTATATGTAATGTAATATGTATATGTATGTATATATATATATATATATCACGGTGATATAATATAATATGAAGTTTTATCGCATCACGTAGTAATATTGTTACATCGCCATTCAGGGCCCTAAACCATTGGACCCTCGCGTGCCTTAGCAGCAGGACATCGACCTCCAGCGTGCGCTGGAGGCCTCCATGCAACCTCAAGCCAAGGCCTTGGGGGGGTGTGTAAGGGGGTGACTAGGGTTCCCTTTAAAGGAATCCTTAAAGGGGGTGGGTCTATAAGGGATCTGCAGTAAGGTTCTATATTGGCCTTCCTTAGTGGGGGGGGGGTTTGGTTTACAGGTCGCTTACGGGGGGAGGCTATGTTTCTATCACAAGAAGGATCTTTTGTAGGAGTAACCGGTTGCTTCCTGCTTACAGGCCCAGGGGACTTAGCAAGTAGGTTATAAGTAGGGTTATAATTGGGGTGACTCCATTTGAGATACTTATAGCCCTATTTGTAACCTACTTACTAAGCCCCCTGGGCCTCCAAGTAGGGGCTTAGGTTTCAAGGTTGCTTAGGGCTTAGGGCTTTTTTGGTTACGGGGATTAGGGTTTTAGGGATAGAGAATGATAGAGGTTTAGGGGATTAGGGGTTTAGGGGGTTGGGGTTTTCAGGGTTAGGGCTTTAGGGGATTAGGGTTTAGGGGTTAGGGCTTTAGGGGACTAGGGCTTTTAGGATTATGTTCAAGGAGAGAGGGTTTTTCATGTTAGGGTTTTAGGGCTGGGGTTTTAAGGTTAGTGTTTTCTAGGGTTAGGGTTCTAGGGTTATTTGGGTTTAACTGTCAGGGTTTTATGGTTAGTTAGGGTTTAAACGTTAGGGTTTTGGGTTTAATTAGGGTATTAGGGTATGGGCCTAAAGAGCCCCAAAGCTCTGATTTGAGCAAAAACCCTAAAAATTACAGACGGTTCCTTTCGAATTCCTGAATAATTAAGGGGTTCAGAGTGTGGGGTCAGGGTGTCAGCAGGTGCATTCTCGTCGGCGGAATCAGCGTCTGTTTCTTTGCAGTGAACGGCCCGGCTGTTCTACGTGGTTGTTGGGATTTTCTGGTTCCTCGCTTCTGACTGCCGTAGAACCTGACCACTTGGAGGTTCACGGCCTAAATCCCTACTTCAGGGGTTCCCTTAAAGGTCCCTTTAAAGGGATCTATAGGGATTCTATAAGGGAATAGGGTTTAGGGCCTACTTGGAGGTTCATGGGTAGTTTCACGTGGGGTTATAGGTAGAATACCCATACTTACAACCCATCTTATAGCCCAGCTATACCATGAACCTCCACGCAGGCACCCTCCACTGGGGAGGAGAAACGCTGCACGGACGCATTGGGTGCGAGACTTCCGATGAAGCCCCGATAGACACAAAGACTCCAATATCCCTCAACCCTAAAGCCCTAAAGCTTCATCATACGTGAAGCAATATGCCTTCTTTAAGAGATTTTGGAGTTTGCGGTCTGTCTGGGACAGGATTGAGAAGGGTGTCTCTACAGGGTTTATTCGGCTTTGAAGGGTGCTGGTGAGGTTTGATATCAGCAGAGCCCCAGAACTAAGCTTTGAGCCTTTATGGAGCATGCTCGTGACCTTTGCTGCCCGCGGGGGCCAATGCTGATATCTTCGTGCCTGTAATGAAATACATCTTGCTGTCTTCGCCTCCAGAGGGGGTTGTGCAGCGAAAAGGTCTTATGAACCCCTTGACGCACTTGGACTGCATGACACAACCGTTGACATCGAATCGAAGCTTCTCCAGCATGTTGGCAGAAGGTTTTCACACTTCAATTTACTTAAATTCTCGCTTCAACATGCAGCTGGTCACGGACTCCATGAGGGAGAAGTCTAGGGTTGTGAGATGCTCGGAATCGACAGTTGCCATCAGGTTTCCGGCAGGATGTCATCTTTCAGTTCCAGCAGTTTCTGTTGTTGACCCTGTGCAAAACATTTTGCTGAGATTCTGGGGCTGAGAGGCAGGCTTGGTAGGGGCTAGGCAATACCAGAGCCCATCTATGGTCGTACTACGGACGTGTACACATGCTTGCTTCTATGCCTCACGGGGTCAGTGCAGCACAGCGGCTCCGCGTAATCAGCAGGGTAGTTGAATCATTGCCCAGCGTCTCGTGACTGCCTGGCTGCTGGCACTGCTGGTGATTCCTGATGTCTTATGTCACACCGGGCATCCTGACCGATGCGGACCTTATGCCTATCATGGTACTTGAAGGCTCATGGGACTTAGTAAGTACGGTTATAAGTAGGTTATACTTAGGATAACCCCACTTTGGGGACTTATAAGCCCAGTTATAACCTACTTACTAAGTCCCATGATCCTCTAAGTAGCAGTGTTCGCCAAATTCGATGGCTCTTTGGTGAGGCCTTACGTACAGAAGAAGCCCGTTGGGGCCTTTGCAAGCCTCAAAGTCACAGATATGCCACAAAAAACACCAGACAGTTAGCCGCAGCTCAAACCCCTGAACCCTTCAATCCCCGGTTTAAATCCTAGTCTCGGACCCAAGATTATAAACACTTAGGGCCTAGGGTCGCAGGATTCAGGACTTAGTTGCTTCAAGATTTCGGTGAAGGTTTGCTTCAAAGGCTCTACGCGGTCAAACCTCTGAGCCCTGGACCTAGACCCTTATACGCTCCAAATCCTGAACCCAATATCCCGAAAGCCCCGCATTACCCCTGCAAAGCCTTAAATGCTGAACCCCAAATCCCCACAGTCCCACAACCCTAACCCTAACCCTTACATCCCCAAAGTGACCACAAAGCCCGAGAGTACCTATACTATTTAGGGGGGTTCCTTACAATAATTATAGTATAATGGGCCCCAAAACCCTATTCTAAGCTTCGAAGTTTGGAAGTTTCGCTCTGAGGATCCTTGGTCGAATCTCGGGAGGATGCCGGGAGCTTCAGCGCGGGTTTAGGGGTTCAGGAGTTAGGGGCTGAGGGGGTTTGGGGTTTAGGGTTTAGGGCTCAGGGTTGAGGGTTTCATAGGGTTGAGGGCTCAAGGCTTAGGGTTTAGGGTTTGTGGGTTTAGGGTTTTGGGGGTTCCGGGGTTAGGGTTTAGGGTTTAAGCTTGTGGGGCTTAGGGTTTCGAGTTGAGGGGTTTAGGGCCTTGGTGTAACCTGGGACAGGGTATATACCAGAAGGGGGATGGATTTACATGTCAGGACTAAGGGATAGAGGCCTTAAATCTTTTCAGGGGTTATCATCTAAGACTCGGGTATGTAGGGTTTAGGAATAGTAGGCTCAGGTGATCGCCTGCGTTCTGAGATTGGTGAAGATGCTACCCATTCGAAAGACTGTGCCTTGTCCCAGAAGGTTTTGAATTCATGAGTAGAAGTCCCTTCGGGCGAAGGTATCTAGAACTTCAGTACTGGGATCTGTTGCGGAAGAAGAACAAGTAGTCCCAAAAGCAATACAACACCGCCGAACGGACCGCCGTCATGAATGATTACCCTGACGAGCTTAGTATGGATTTCGTTAAGCACTTACGAGGTTATGGGCAGAATGAAATGGTTCGGTAGTCAGACCATGACACTAGTCACTAGTCCTAGGCAAACCGACAACCTTAGCACCTAGTTGATGATTGCATTGTTGCGGCCAGGTGTTGAAGCAAACATCCCGCAACTGCGTGCCTGGTGTTATCTAGCTGTTGGTATGAGTGGCCACAACTGACCAGCCGATTTGTCTAAATCCTGCGCTCTCCTAGAAGTAAGCATCCTGGCTCGATTCCTGTTTTGGCTCAAGTGCTTTGCGCAGTCTGCCAACTTCTCAGTTGACGTCGAGGCTTCGGGAGCCCCCCGAGGGCCATGGCGAGATTTCGAGATGCTTCCGCCCTCCGGCTGAAAGGAGTTAGCCTAAGCCCCCAAAGTAGTTCCTTTTGGGGGCTCTAAGATTAAGAATCCTATAAGGTTACCAAAAAGGAACAGAAAGAGAGCCCGGCCCCAAAGTAGTTCCTTTTGGGGGCTCTAAGATTAAGAATCCTATAAGGTAATCCCAAAAAAGGAGCGACCATGAGAGCCCAACATCCTCAATTAAAAGAAGGACTTGAGGCGTCTTCTTCAACATAGCCAGGGCTTGGGCCCCCACCCTGAGCCCCAAAAACCCTAAACCCTAAACCCCTAAACCCCTAAACCCCTAAACCCTTGCAAGGCGTGGGGGGTGCAGGATGCCAGGAATTCGAAGAGAGGGAGGCTTGAGGTTTCTGGGCAAAGGTTTAAGGGTTTAGGGTTTAGGGTTTAGGGTTTTATCGGGGCGTTTTCTGGCATAGAACACGGGCTTGCCTTTGGAATCGCTGTGCATTTTCTCTAGGCTGCAAACCAAGGGTCATTTTCATTTTGGGTCCAAGCGGCTTATAGGAACAGCCTGCCTAAGCTGTAACCAACCGGCTACAATCTGAAAGTACGGGCAATGCAGTAGACCTCTGAACCATAGAATTAGTCCGCAACCCATAACGACCCTAAACCCGTGAGCCGTGCAAAGGATAGACATACCAGCGAATGATCACACTAGCCCCGTCTAATTATTCTAGACCCTGGCTAAGTCGGCCTGAACGCACCCTCAGGCCTATAGTTCCGTTTGTCACGGCCAACCTGTAGCATACCAGACTTTTATCAATATGGATTGGCAATAACCAAGTAGCTTACATCAACCCGCAAAAAACCGGATTCTGATCATCATTCTTGTTCAGCTCTCCATCAAAGCACCGCATCAACATAGTAGACTCTCCTTGCCACTTAGATCTTACAGCAATTTAGAACAGAACCGACTTTTGTTGTGAGGTCTTACTCTTGTGCCTACATCTGACTATCGCGGTACGCGTGGAGCAGGACACGGCAAAGGCCGCTAGGGCTTGTTGTGTCAAAAGGATTCTAGGAGGGAGTCTATAAGGGCTAGGACCCAGAGTAGGCCCTTATTCCCTTTTTGAGGGTTTCGGTTCCCTTATAACCCCCTTTAAACCAAAAAGGGCACCCTTTTTGTTCCTATGTTACTCTTAGATCTAGTTATTAAGGCCCCTGCGCCAGGAATAATGAGGGTCTTGATTGGGACCCTGAGCCCTTTTATACAGGGAGACCAGAAACAGCTCCGAACCCAAATTCGCTCCAGAAGGGTTTGGGTTTAGGGGGGGTGGGTTTGGGGTTTAGTAGGGTTCAGACTAAAAAGCCCTAAACTTTAGAAGGGGCCCCCACACTGTGATAGTGACCTATGAGGATTATATTAGGGCCCCATTATATTCCTATTATACCACTATTACAGGGTGGGGGCCCCTTCTAACCTAAACTAAACCGTGGTTACGAGTCTTGGGTTTATTCTTTCCCTATACAGTAGAAGCCAGAAAGTTGGAATATCATTATCGTAACCCCTTTAAGGTAAATTATAGGGGATCCTACCATTAATCCATATTCCAACTTTCTGGAGTTCCGTATACCCAAAAGTCCGCAAGCACAAGACTTCCTGGGGCCAAGGCATCCTCGCATCTTGAGCTTCTGGAGGACTGTAGAGTGTCGGGTTTGGGGATGATTTTTGGGGGTTATAGGGTTGATGATATAAATCCTGCATTACCATTAAAAGGAATATACCATAATTCCCATGGTTGGCGTCTTTAAGGTAATGCAGGATTTATATCCTCAACAGTAGGGTTACGACTTCGATAGGGCCGACTGTTGGGTTTTAGGATTAGGGCTGCGGTTTGTGGTTAGTGTTGAGGGTTGGGGTTTGGGGTGGCTTCGTGGGATCCGCACCACCGAAAAGCCGCGTAGCTTGTGTCGAGGATTCGTCCATTAGGGATTATGTCAGGACTTTGGGAGTTTGAAGTGTTGTTGCACTGTAGAGTAACTGCATTTGAGCTCAGGTTAGTATTTTCGGATACTGAATTTCACCAGGAGCCTTTGAAACTGAGACCGTACATGGATTCAGAACATCCTTGTGGAACTGGTCTTGAACCATTCTCATGTCTGGCAATCTAGGCTAAAGGATGAAGGGAACCTCCACAAGAAGTACATGGGCCAGAGAGGCAGAGCCAGGGATTCGAATGTCCCTAACTTCAGTGTATACTTGAAAATGCAAGCAATCTGATGGTCAGGAGCAAGCAGGGGCATATTTTGAGAGCCGTCAGATGTCCATGGTCAGTCGCAAGGCCTGGTGAGGGGTTCACAGTAGGAAGTTGTCACGTTGACTACCCTCCCTTCAAGCCCCCACCCCCACCCTGCAATAGTGGTATAACAGGAATATAATAGGACCCTAATATGATCCTTATAGTCACTATTACAGGGTGGGGGGGGCTTTAATGCCTGCCCATACAGCCCAAAACAGTGGGACTAGAAGAGTATCTTTTTTGCGGGTTCGTAATTCGGACCATAACGAGTAGTGTTCTCTCATAGTCTCTCTATATTTGTACTTTTGACTCTAGTCACAGTCGTTCTACTGACTCAGGGCCCTTTATCAGGGCGTCATAGTGCCCTAAACCCTAAACCGTCGACAGACCACAGACGGTTTTGGATCTGCTAACCCATTGGTTGAGGAGATCTTGGCCTTCGAGCCTAACAAAAATTGGGGTTTAGGGTTTAGGGTGTAGGTTTACGGGGTTTGGGGCTTAGGGTTAGGGGTTTAGGGTTTGAGGGTTTAGGGATTTAGGGTCTCGGGTTGATGACGGTGGAGATGGTTCAGGGTTGAAGGCAGTAGGATGTAAGTATAAGCCCTACTTGGAGGTTCATGGGTAGTGATAAGTGGGGTTATAAGTAGGGTGACTATACTTATAACCCATATATGAGGGGAGTCATAACCCCACTTATAGCCACCCATGAACCTCCAAGTACCCTGTTCCTAACTAACCTACTTAAAAGGCCTCAGCGGGGACTTGGTAAGTAGGTTATAAGTAGGGTTATAATTGGGGTAACTCCATTTCAGGTATATACTTATAACCCCATCTATAACCTACTTACTAAGTCCTGAGTCCCCTGGGCCTCCAACAAAGGCCTTTTTTTGAGGACTGAGATAAGAAGGAAGTGGTAGACAGGAGCCTTAATCTGGTCGGGTTGAAGAGTCAGAGTTTAGGGGGTAAGGGGTTTAGGGTTCAGGGTTAAGGGTTTAGGGTTCAGGGGTTTAGGGTTCAGGGTTTGGGGTTTAGGGTTTTGGGTTTGGGTTCAGGTAAACCTTAAACCCAAAGATTGGGACTAGGATTCCCGTTTCAGCCCTTGTTCAGCGAAGGTGTGTCTAAATCAGTGTCGTCCTCAACTCCCCAGAGTTTACCATTCAAGGACCCTGGGTTCTCAATTTTCATAGAGTTTTGACGGAGACGCAGCCTTAGGGTCTTAGAACCTCTGAGTACTTGAACATTTGAACCCTGAACCTATAGCCCTACTCTGAACCCCAATCACAGAGAACTCAAAGCCAGTTTAAAGTTGAGCTATAAACCCTTAACCCCCAAGCACCTGAACCCTAAGCCGGTGAAGACCTCTCCCGTCAGACGCTAGCCACCTCGGGCTGTCCCGCACTTCTCGCGGCGGATGGCGGTCACGTTCGAACGCCCCTGGTCCTGTCTTGTTAACTGTTATACTTAAAGGATCACGGGACTTAGTAATTACGGTTATTGTTAAGGTATACTTATAACCCCAATTCAGGTACATATAACCATACTTACTAAGTCCCATGATCCTCCAAGTAGTGCTGTTCTGTACGGATCCTGTGGAGGTTCATTAGGGGTTCCATGAAGGTACTGCATGGGTTCTACCAAAATGGGCGCGAGGATATTATTATGTCGTTTTTGGCTGTAGGGGTTCCATGAAGGTACTGCATGGGTTCTACCAAGATGGACGCGAGGATATGTACACGTTTTTGTTGCTTGTATATTCGATGTTTTGGGGTCTAGGTACTTTGACAATATCCTGTTTGGGTTTA